TGCTCAGAGCCCCAGCCGATGTGTATGAGTCCCATTTGTCAGACCCCTTACAAGAGGCAGAGAATTAGGAAGGACTCCTCCACCCCCCTGCATCACCTGCTGCCTGTGTGGTGCCTGGTTGTGGCTGGAGACCTCAGCACAGCATCGACACCTCTCTCCTGCTCTCCCCACAAGACGAGGTTGCACAAGGTGGGCAGAAGCAGCCCGTTGTAGGCTGGGCAGTGACCCCTCAGCATGGTCCTGCATGGCTGGAGGAGGAGATGGGTGACAGAGCTCTTAGCCATCTAACACCTTTGGCTGTTGCCACCTCCAGAGCGACCAGAGCCTCAGGCTGGCACCTGTGGGTCACCAGAGCAATGGGCAGGGTGTGGTTCATTTGGTGGTGGGCATGTCAACCAGTCTAACCACCTCCTCCTGACACAGAGCTGCTGGGCAATGGAGGAATTTACAGAAGTGATGAATTTGTAGAGAGCTTCTGATAAAGCATTCTGTGTAATATCCATGTAAGTGCCTTGTGAATCTGGTTATCATACAGCTACTACAGGACCCTCTGGGAAACCAGGGTATCCTTAATAGCTGTCACACTGGGGAAACGTGTCAAGCAGGATCCTGAAAAAGTCAAGTTTAAAAGCAATGAACAACCAGGAAAAGGATCAGAAATGAAAAATAATCAATTCAGCAATAAGGGGTGCAGAGGACTGTGTTCAGGAAGCAGATACCAAGTGCCAGAGCACAGGATGAAGAGCAACCGATTGCAGAGGACGTCCCCAGGAGAGAGCTTCACCTGGGCTCTTCTTTTTGCAGCAAGACTCAACTGTGATCTCACTCCACTGCTGAGCAGTGGCATGTACTGATTTAAATGGCTGCAGAAATCTCCTCAGTCCAATATGTGTTAAAACTGAACAGAAGTCAAGAACATGGCACTGCTGAAAAGAAATTCAAATCTTCTCTGTCGAAAGAGAGTTTAAGGCAAGAAGTTCTAAAGCCCAGTTCTAAACATTTCAGTCAGAGAATGCCACTTTGGAAGGGAGAAATCTCAGTCCAACATGTGTTAAAACTGAGCAGAAGTCAAGAACGTGGCACTGCTGAAAAGAAATTCAAAACTCTGTCGAAAGAGATTTTAAGGCAAGAAGTTCTAAAGCCCAGTTCTAAACATTTCAGTCAGAGAATGCCACTTTGGAAGGGACCTCAAGGATCATCTGGTCCAAACCTTCTTGGGAAAAGCACCATCTAGACAAGATGGCCCAGCTCCTGTCCAGCTGAATCTTAAAAGCTCCAATTTGGGGGGCTCCACTGCTTCTCTGGGGAAATTATTCCAAAATCTGATGGTTCTCATTGTGAATGTCCTATACATAAGCAATACAGAAGTAAAGAACAGTTTAAATAAAAGACACAGCATAGCAGTTTTTTTAAATACACAGCTGAGATGGTTGGAGTGATTTGGATGTGGCTTTGGACCAAAGAGGAGCCCGGGGGCCTTCCTAGAGATGCACTTTTATGCTTCTATGGAAAACCTTCAAGAAAGCCATTGGAGGGAGTAAAAAGATTCAGTGTGGTTAATATTTTGATATGCAATAATGAACCAGGCTGATTTTTCTGCCATCAGCAGATGGACTGATTTGAAGATGGGAAAATTGGGAAAAGGTTTTATTAACTATTTTCCCATATGTGCATTTGCACTTGATGTTGTTTAGTTCTGAGTTTATAAAAAAAAACAAACTTGAAAACAAGATAAAGACTTTTCCAGAAGAGAATCCAGACTTGGATCACTGGTTCCATATCTAGGGGAAAGTTGGGGTTTTTTTTAAATTTTTATTAAACATATAGCAATTCTTTGGGAACTAGTGGGTGGTCAGCACTTGAAGTTCCAAAAACCCATATAAACAACCAAAAATAAACTTTGTGTCATTACTGGAAAAGAAAATGAAGAAACCAGTGGGGATTGCCATATTGCATGTTTTTTAAAGTAAAAGAGCAGTGGGATATTTGCCTTTTAAATTAAAAAAAGAAAAAGAAAAACATGTTTCCATGAAAAATCCCTGAGCTTTGTGGCTCACTCATACCTTACATGTATTTTTTTGTAATTTCCTTAATCAGGATGACTGCCATCATCCTTTTATTCCATTAGTTGCACCCTATTCATCAATCCTTTTCTGAACTGTCAAGAGAAGTTCTTGCAGAGTGATTCAAAATGCCGTGTTCCAAAGACTGCTCATTAGCTCAGCAGGATTTTAGTCAGGAGAATTAGAACAAGCTCTGGTAGCATGAGGCCTGCAGTTGTTTTCCAGGATTAGCTATAATTTTTCAGTAAATAGATTATTTTCGCGTGCACAGGATGAACGGCCAACAAATCTGATTTGTGAATTTCTGTTTCAGATTATTAGGAAAGCTCTAACAGAGGAAAAACAAGTGTCCACAAAGACATCTGCAGCAGATCTTGTGACAGAAACTGATCATTTTGTGGAAAATTTAATTATTTCTGTTCTGAAAGAGAAGTTTCCCTCCCACAGGTGAGTGCCTGTAGAAAGAAACTCTCAGTGACCTTTTTTCCTTTAAGAGCTGTGTATCTGACTGGTGTTTAAAGGGAATTTTCAGAATTCTACATATCTCTTACATATTAACCTATTGGACACTTTCATAAGACTACTTTTTTTTTAAAAAGTGCCACTTCTTTATACTTAGTACTTTATATTTTCTAATAGTTATATTTCTTAGTGTATATATTTCATAGTAATGTTTTCCCTGTAGGGGAAACCTGAAGGTTTCATGTGGATCTCCATGATTTTCAGAATACTGATCTTTATTGTTTAAGAATTATTCTAAGGATATCTGTTAAAATATAGCTGAAATTAATGACAGCAAATTCTGCAGAGCATTCCTTCACTTTCTTTTGCCATCATACAGAAGAATTTGCCAGATCAGGGCAGGTGTTGTATGTAATCCCATTTACCTTGTGTTGTACAGAATCCTAAAATGAGCAAGAAGCAGGGTTGTTTATCATCATCATTTGATATGTATAAATAAACAGGTTATAAATTACTATATGGGCTTTCAACCCAAGGTTTTAAAAATAGAACAGATTGTTGATTATTATGGTCAACTGAAAATAACACCTCCCAGCAGACACACAGATTAGAGAGAGGTTTTGTGTTAGCTGGCCAGGCTTGTTTTGATGCACACCCAGCAATCAATTTCCACATTTGACTTGAGCCCAGAAGGATAAAATTCACCTTCCTCCAGAGCCAGTGCTGAGCCTGTGTGTCCCTTAAATACCACAGGACTTCCTTCTAAGTGGGTGCATCTTGTGTGGGGATGAGCCTGGCCCTCCAGCACCACACAGAAATCAACAGAGATGAAAAATCTGGAGGGCTCAGCTGCTAATCTGATTGTCCACAGTTCTGCTGGGGAAAATAAAAAACACCAAAGACCATAAGAAGGAGCAGAAAGAACATTCTATACTAAATGTGGCTTTCTAAATACATGTGATCACGTATTGAAGCAATACTGTACAGCATAAAGTGTGGTTCTTGGCTGAGATTCTCAAGAGAGTGCCAGCTTCACAAGCCTATTATTTGTGTAATGCTCTTTCTACTATTGCTGGCTGTGCTCTTTCCTCATCTCCACTCTTATGCTGGTTTTTTTTTCCTTCAATAGTCTGGCAGAGAACACAAAACATACACTTTTCACATAAAATGAGAATCATCAGAAGCACTCGAGTTGCTCAGGATGGGAACAAAAGTTGTAAGGTCAACACAGACCTAGGAACTGAAAAATCCCTGACTTCTTTAACTCTGTACAGTTAACTTCTGGCTTGATAAGGCAATGAAGGCATTGCTGTTTCTTCAAGACAGTTATTTTTTGCTGGTATTGGTTATTGGTTTTGCTTGGAGTTTGTTCAGATAGGGAACACATTTTGATTAAATCATAGATTAAAACTACATATAACTAAACTAGATGAAAATACTTGCAATGAGGAGTCCACAGTAGCAATCAAGGTTTAAATTAAAGTACTATGAAAACATTACAAGATCATTTAAATTGTGTTCAGTTTTTCCCCTAATCTGGTTGTTGAAAGCATCACTGAATATTTCTGTTATTTCTTTTTCTCTATAATGATCTTGATTCTTATGTTCTCTAAATCAAAAAATGTACCCTAGGAGTTAGAAAAATTAAAAGGGATCTCATTAGAATCTGTGCCATTTGGACTGCAGCAGTGGTGAGTCTTGAAATACTGGAAATGTACTCAGAAGTAAGGAGAAATATTAGGAAAATCTGTTTAAAAGGTGATTCTGTCCCATGTTTCTTTCTTTCCTCTGCTTGGCTAAGTGATATGTATCAAACTTCTTCGTGCTTCACCCAAGTTTTCCTCTTTGGTACTCTGACTGCTCCAAGTGAGTCTTTTCAAAAGGTTATTGTTTCCTGATAGAACTCTGAATTGTGGAAAGTCACAGACAGAATCTCAGGGGCTTCTGGCTGAAAAAGGCTATAGTGCCATTTGCCTGTGTTATTTGTATACAAGTTGTCATCTTTGGTATCACTTGTGGCCTTGATCCTGTAGACATCAAAACCAGGACGCAGCCATTACAGAGGGTGATATCCCACTCTAGCTTCCCAGCTTCCTGGCCTCAGACCCCCAGGAGGGGACAGCTGAGGGACAAGCCCCAGTCTGAACCCTCTGCACCCAACTGGGTGTCTCTCCTGCTGCAGCTAATGCTGTGCTGCAGTTTCCCTGCTGTTCCAGCAATGAATTTCAGAGGGGCACTGTGCTATGAACAGATGTACACAAGGCTTGGCTAAAATTACTGGTCTCATTTTCAGTGGGAGAAAACTTTAATCCAGATTTGAAAGGAGGTCAACAGAGCTGGCAGGCTGGCATATTAAATTAACTGCTCTCATGACATGCCTGCCCCTCCCACTTCTCAAGTTGACCCTAAAATTTAGTCTCCAGTACTTCAAGATGAATGTTTTGCTTAGTTTGCCTGTTTTTACAGGACAGAGAGCCATAGAGCAACACATCTGGTGTTGACCTTGAGGGACTCACACAGTTCTCAGGACTGTATAACAGCAAGGGACTTATTTAAACCTATTAGCCCAAATTTCATAAAATTTACACCTAATTAGTCTTACATCCATTTTGGGAAAATTATTCTTGGACATCCAAACTTTATTGATGGCCCTGCTGTAGGGCAGCTTCTTGTCAGCATTTCAGTATGGCAGGATTGCAACATGGCACACCTCTGTAAGGAGAAGACAAGGGGCAGAATTCCAATCCTGCAGGGCAAAACACCTGACGGAGAAACACTCCTGTCTTTAAAGAGGTTCCCATTTCACCTTTCTACAGCTGGCAAGTCAACGGCTGCAGTTCAGGCTCTGGCTGGGGGAGGTGGCAGAGGGTTCATAGAATCATAGGGGTTGGAAGGGACCTCGAAAGATCATCTAGTCCAGCCCCCCTGCCAGAGCAGGAGTTGAAGCAGGTTGAAGCAGAGGTGTAATTTCTGGGGAAGGTGGACAATCAGATGGGATTTAAGGTGCTCCATCTGAAGAAGAGGAGCTTCCTCTGCAGCCAGCACCACAGCCAAAGTCTATGGGTTGGGTTTAGGTGCTAATTACAGGGTCTGTAAAAGGAAAAGTCAAGTAATACAGCACCAACAAGACAAAACAATGTAATATTTAGAGCAAGGAGTCTGCAAAGTGTTATGTTTGACTGAGAGTTCCAAACACTTGTTCAAGTCTCTCTTGTTTCTCAGTTGCACAGTAACACTTTGTCCTTCAGCTGTTATCTTAATGGAGATGAAAATAGTAACCAGCACTTCCTGCGTCCCTCTTCACACCAACCAGGCGCCCACAATACCATCACAATATTCCCTTTCTCCTGAGGGAAAGGCAAAGTAACACTTGGAGAATTCAAGAAGTCTCCTCCGGTGCTGCCTGCAGAACATTTTAAGCTCATGGTTGAAAGAGTTATGTGGCATCATGCAGCATGTGTCAAGGGCACCAGAGAAAACAGCTGCTGCTCCAGTCCTAGGGAAGCAACTGTTCCTGCAAAAGACATTTTGTCTTTAATTTATCTGATTTTTTTTCTCTCTGTGTCTTCAAGTCAAGCTTTTTTGTCTTCAGGCATTTTCACAAACTCAGAATACTGCTACCAGCTGTTTGAATGTGAAAGCAAAAGCAAGTTTCAGTGTTGGCAGGCTATTTTCTACACCTTCTGCACTTCCAGGACTTTATTCAAATCTGTGAGAGTAGCACCTGCACAGCACTGCCAGAAGCAGACCCTGAGCAGTTTGTGGGAGAGCAGGGATAATTAAAAAAAAAAATGCAGCAGGAAATGTGCCAGAACTGGATGTTCGTTTCCCAGGGAAAAAGGAGGAGGAAAAAAAAAAAATAAAGCTTATCTACTAAAAGAAATTGGGACAGAAAGAACAACAGAACAGAAGATGAGCTCAGATTTCAATGTGTGCTTTGTGCATCCAAACAACAAACAAAAAAATTAATTTGTTGATTTTCTCTGGGTCATGGGAAAAAGAATGTTCAGCTTTGTAAACCTTCTAATTTCCAGAGTCAGACTACTGTGAAAAATTCAAGTAGGAGTGAGATTGTGGATTTTCTAAGAGTGCATTATTTCCTGAAGACTGAATTTGACTGCAAAAGAGAAGCAGCTACAGTTTGTAGTTTATATTACTTACTGCAAGAGACAGGCCTAACCCATAAAATTAAATTCTGCATAAAAACCCTTCTTCTAGAGTTCCAGGGATGCCAGTTCACATCCATTTCTGCATTCATTTTCAGGGCTTTCTTAACAGTATACTGGGAAAGTGAACATAAATGGAATGCTTTTTTTACCATGTAAAATGGTATGCTGTAAATCTGAGAACTCTCCTTCAAATCTTCTGTGAAATTTCCCCATTGAATGAAAAATGAAAAAAGCAGTATGTGTGGTTATACATCCATTGATACGAAATTTTACATAGCTATATAAATAAGTATCTCTCCAGAAACAGGAAGATGGAGCTTGACTTTCCAACTCCCATATCTAAGCCAGTTTTCTGGGACACTTGTTTTACTCCACACCAAATGCAGGTTTATTGCAGAAGAATCCACTGCTGCTGGTTCCAAATGTGTCCTCACCGACAGTCCCACCTGGATTATTGACCCTGTTGATGGAACGTGCAACTTTGTGCACAGGTACGTGGGCAGTGAAGTGGGAAACAGAAGAGCAAAATGTAGCTTCCCACAAATCCTCCCCTCTACTTAGAGGTGGTTTAGCATGGTAGGAGTCATCCCTTTATCTGTTTGTACCTCGTGTAGTCTGTCTGAGGGAGTCTGTGTTTGTGCTGGAGAGAGCTCTGCACTGTTATCTAAAGGTAAGCTGAAGTTTCTGCTGATTGCTTAATGACCCACAGCTCTTGACTCACAGCTGGTTTATATATAACCACACAGGAACGTGCAGAGGCTTGAGCTGAACTGGAGGAACAAGGCTGTGCTGTGATAACACTTGGCCTCACGCCTCCCCTGGCTGTTACACATTCCTTTACCAGTGGTGTTTTCTTCCTTTCAAATGCTTCATTTTTCCTGGGAAGTACAAACACTGCATATATGCAGAGTAGAACTGAAAACTTAAGTTCTACATAGATCCTGGTGTTACATTTTTAAACTGCCTCTCTGCAAGAAGAAATCTAGAGATCATTACTGCAAAAATACCCAAGTTTAATTCACCATTTCAGTGCTAGGAGTTGTAAATTAATTGAAAAAAAAAAATATTGAAAACTAAGTGAAAATTTCTAGCAATATTTTCTGTGCCTTTCCTTCACAGCCCTTTTTAAAACATGCTTTTAAGAAATGAATTTATTTCAATGTTTAAAATGCAATAATTATACTTCAGTCAAAGGGACCACATTAAATACCTGGTCATCACTATGACAAAAGAGGGCAGAGGAACTGGTTTCTCCTGATGTTGATGTCAGCAGCAAGGTATCTCCATGCAACTTAATTGCTGTCTCAGATGCTTGAACTTGAGCAAAATGTGCTCTTAAAAATGATGACTTGTTAGGACAACGTTAATGATTTTAGGCTGGATAATTCAATTACACTACAGCAAAAAAATCACTAAAATATACAGCATGTTGAATGTAAAAATCCAGATACCTTCATGTTTGTTTCTTGCCTTCTCCAATACGAAATTACATTTTTAAAGGGGCTGACAAAGGAGAAATAGCACAATGTCAAGAGCATTTTGACACAAGTAAAATCACAGAGCTCCTCGTGGGGTTTTGTTGCCTGAGGGAGCTGCATAAGGAGTAAGTTGAGAGATTTTTCATCAATACTACTTCATTTCTTCTTTTTCACAGATTTCCAACAGTGGCAGTGAGCATTGGATTTGCTGTTAACAAAGAGGTATGAAGTATATTCTTTAAGATGGGTACCTGAGATCTGGTTAGAAGCCTCACAACCATGTGGGAACCTTAAATGAAACAAAATTTAAAAAAAAAAAAAAATCAGCCACTCCTCAGGTTTTTCCACCCTTTTTAAATGCATTTGATCATATTCTGCTAGTCTAAAACGACAGTCCTGCAAAACTTATTTATGCAAACTGGCAATTACAAGGTAATTCTTACAAATTATTATATCTATTATGGGATTCGTGTGGGGAAAAAAGGGAGTACTGTCGTGAGCAAGGGTTTGTAAGACAAAACCATAATGAATTCATATAGTGCTGCTTATTCATATTTTAAACACATCTCCCAGTGTTGTTATTACTGGTTCTTTCCTGCTAGCAGTATCTGTGACACATAACTGCTACGAGGCAGTTCAGAACTTGATTTCTATGAAGAGTGCAGAATTATGGGCCTAGTGCATTTAATCTGCCTTAACCTGGTAAAATAACTGTATTTTCCACACGAGAGCTTGATTACAAGGGGGAAAAAAAAGTACCTAGCCTTCATATGTGCTGTTTTGAGTTTCCTAGCTATACTCGTTCATGCTACTGCCTTTTCTCCATATGTTGCCAGTTTACAGTTTGATATATACAGAAGAAACAGCTTTTCAAATTGCCAAGGAATGTGCCTCTTTCAGCCTAATTCCATGATCTTTAATATATGTAAGTGAAGCCAGCAAGAATTCTGTGCAATAACAACATAGTTTTCAGATGTGCAAATGGCTCTTGCTGATTTAAACAGAATAATGTTGTGTACTTCTCTAGTGAGACTTTTCAAACATGGAAACTGCAGAGAAACACTTCCATGCTTTTCTGAAGTTTATTCATTCCCAAAGGTCCTTTTGAGTACTACATATTATTACCAGACAGCTTTCTCTAATATTTATGTTTTCTAGAACACCATTGTGATTTTGATGCTGCATATTTTGGGTTATGTAAACTAAACAAAGCTGAAACAAAAATAAAGAATGATGTTAAATCTCCCTCAGTAAACAAATGGGAAAGGCAGAAAAAGTAGTAAGCTGAGAAGGAGCCAAAGTACACGCAGGGGAACTGCCCTGAATGTAAACCTTAACCAGTACTGAAGAAATGCCTGCAGATGTCTTCAGTCTATTAATAGTATGTTCCTCAAAAAAACCTCTTAGTTCAGATGGGACCTGAGGGTAGGGAGCAAGGACAGTCTATTCCCTATGAATTGTCTCTGATGAACCCTGAGAATTATTCACATTGCTTGGAGGAGGGCAGCAGGGGAAGATGTGGAGTCTAGAACATCTGAGATGTTTTCTTGAGCTTGTTACCAAATTCTTCTGTGTGTGACCTTGGGCAAGCCACTTAGTTTTTGTGTATCAGTCCACCCTGAAATAAAAGCTTGCTGATACCATTTACCTGGGGGTGACTGTAGGGGCTGGGCACTGGAGTTTGTGAAGTGCTTTAAAATCTTCTGGTGAAACCTATTAATGAAATAATAATATTAAATACTTTGGGTTTAAATCAGGGGTCATATCACTGATCATATCTATGTATTTGGGGCTCCAAATCTTCAGGGTCTGGCCGAACTCAGTGGGTACTTCTAGATGTAACTGCTCAGCAGTGAAAGTCAAGCTTTCAGAATCTGGCTTTATTGGACTTGCATACTTAAAATAAAAGCATACAATTGGATTTGAAGTCAATTTAGCATTTAATCCTTCCTAATGTGAACACAGGCAAGCTGCAAGTAGGAGTTTAGAAGGTCACAAACCAATTGCATTAACTTCTCTTTATAAACTGAATTTTATATGACCTATATCTCAATATCAGAGTAATAGTTAAATTATTCCAGTTTATTAGCCTCAATATAATCTTTGATTACATGTACCAGTTAAGATATTGCTGATCTTTCTGCCATTAGATGTTTATATTTATGATGAGTAATTTGAGTTGCATTCATTTCTTTCCTTTTCAAAATCTTAAAGCTTGAATTTGGTGTAATTTACCACTGCACTGAAGAACGATTATACACTGGTAGAAGAGGTCAAGGGGCATTTTGTAATGACAAAAGGCTTCAGGTATCAAAAGAGACAGGTTGGTCTAGATTTTGTTAGAACTCTAAAAGGAATATGTTAATTTTGTTTCAGAGTTGTTGCAAATCATCATTAGGATAATGAACATCATTATCCTGATGGAAAAATATTTCACCTGCATGATAATTTTGTTGTTATGTGTTTGTTTTTTTTCTGAAAGATCACAACTTGCCTCATTTTGTCTTTAGAATTTGCATCTGAATATGAACTACTTAAGTAATCCTACATTATTTTGCTTCATAACCGTTGTTTAAAATAAGGAAGAATGAATAGATTCACCAGTTTCATTCCAGCTGTACACTGACATAACTTTTCATGAGCAAGATGCAATGGGAATGGTGAATCAAATTCAAGAGTACTATGGCAGCCATTATTCACTTATTTTCCAGTAAAGTTGTATGTCATAAAGTGTATTATGTCTGTAGGCAAACATGCTAACAGTGAGCTAAAGGGTGCATGCTTCAGTAGGGCTTCTGTAACAGCTTGCTTCTGTGTGTATGATTCAACATACAAATAGCACTTAGTCGATGTTTAATGGAGTTTAATTAATTCCATTAGTTTAATTCCAACTTTAATGGAATTCTTTTATTGGTAAACCAAGATCTGTCTATTTACCTAATGATAATAGATCACAATAATAAGACTTTTTTCTTTCAATCGACCAAAATGTAGAGGAGAATATAGCACTCCATTGTAGACAGAAGCAGACATGTGCCAAAAATGTGCATCACTGTACATAAGAGATGGTAAAAATTTCACATCAAAAAGAAATTTAAGAAATTTGAAACACAGTCAATTCACACAATTTAACTTACATATTTGTTGTAGTGCCCCTGCATCCAAACTTCCCTGAAATGTGGGAAGTTTGGCTATTGGCCTGAATTAACAGTGAGCTGGTGTCTCCCAGTTTGGGGAGATGGAGCAAATTGTAAAGTCAGTGACCCCTAAGATTTTAGTCCTTGATTATACATCACATTTTTGTCAGTGCTCATATATCCACAAAAGCCTATGCTGGCAGAGACTGCTAGGAGAAACTGGGGGTGCACACAGCTGGGCTGGCTGAGCAGATCTTGAAATGGCCTCACACAGTTCTGCAGCCAGAGAGGTCTGGTTTCCAGTTGAGCAAGGAACAATTTTGGCACATGCCACTTTTGTCCTCCCTTCTCTGGCCATCCAGTCTGCATGGGTGTCTAGAACGTAGCCAAGGAAGTGCTCCTTCTGCCCTTCCAAACGCTGCGGAATTTGCCTTGGTCTTGAGAGACATCGTTGGGTGGTGGGCAATTTCACCAGTGAAGATGGATCTTTAGTCTCACTTCTATTGATGTTTTAAGTGTATTATTTTAAGTATAAAATCACAGTTGCTCTTTTGCTGGAAGGACTGTGGCTTCAGTGACATAATCCAACCCCGGAACACGGAGTACAGAGAGTGTGTTTCTCTGTACCTACCACTGGAACTCAAGCAGCCTTCACCAATGCATGATGTGTTGGAGGCCTAGGCTGTCCTGTTACTCCATGCCTTTTGTTTGCAGGAAGTGTGACTGTTGTGTAACATTGATCTACGCTACGTATTCATTGTTCAGACTGAATAATTCACAATCACAGTCCAGGGCAACACTGTTCTTTGTCAGTGCCAAATTTTGTAGAGGTCTGGTATGGGAATCCAAGCGGTCAGGATGCACTTAAATGAAGGATCCATCTTCCCTTTGATTTTGAGTGATATTTCTTCTCGTGCTTAGATTCAGGTCAGGCCTTACATGTGCTGATACTATAAATGTGTTTTCTTTTTTTAATCTTCTGTCATCAATAGAGTTGGTCTTTTCCTCATGAATTTATCCATAGCACTGTTAAATCTCTTCTACCAAGTCTCCTTATTTTTCTGATCTCTGTCAGAGTGAGGATTAGTCAGTAAATTTTCCCTTCTACCTTGACTACCTGAAACCCCATTGAGTCTTGTGATCAGCCAGCTCCTTGTCCTGAGCAGAGACCTCCCTCTTCCTTGCCTCAGCCTCTTACTCTCCAAGCTCTGCCTGTAGCCGTGAGGAGAACTGAAGCGATCCATTTACACCTTAGAAATACAACAACTCAAAAGAACAACGAGCTGGCCGTGCCTGGTGTGGTGGGAATGCTTGGTGCATTTCAGCACACAGCGTTCTCTAGTTAGAAATGGGGTCTGTGACACAAAAAGCCCCACGGCAGGTTTCTTTCAGCACCCAGAGTCTGCCGTGGTGGCTGCAGAGCCAACGCCCCACGGCGTACCTGGATCGGTGTCGCTGTATTTTAATGCAGTAATTTTAAAAGCGTTTTTTAAAGCTCTGTTCCTAGAGTTCACCTTTGGGATAGCCTGTAAGTTTCTATCTAATTGCATACCTGTTACTCACCAATCATTCACCGCATCGCTCGAGTCCATAGTGTTCCTCTGCCCTACTGAATTCGTTGGTAGTCTGTTTAATTAGACGATGTCTCACTCCAACCTAATTTGCTTTGGAAAACCTCCTCGCTACTTCTGCTAAGACTTTCTGACTTGTGCAATTAGCTGTAATAACCAGGTAGACGTTCCCTATCTGAATGAATGCCGAGCCCCTAACCCAGGGTAGCAGGTGAGGCCTGACCCTTAGGCACAGCCTGGTTAGTAAGTAATCGACCGCTAAACCTGTGAGTTTTGTCATGTCTTTAACGCCTCCGAGCTCAGCTGGCACAGCAGCAGCAGGGACACTTGGCATTTGACCAGCCACCTCCACCTACATTGGCATACGCTTGTTACGTACTAGCCATGTTCCGACCTCACGTGAGGACTGCTCCAACACCCTGCGAGTCACTGTGAGTCTCTCCTTTCGCTCTACGCAAGGCTGATAGCCTCGTCTGCTCTAGGTCAGAATGGCCCTTGCTGGACACAATTCGTGTATTAATAATCTTATTAAGAATTCAGATCCTGCTTTAGTTTGTGTTAAGAAAGGGTTTTTATCAGTCATAAAGTATCTTCAGTCTTTAAAATGCCAGAATGAAAGTGAGCTGCTACTGAGTGACTGGTGATTTAGGTCGAAACTTTTCTTTCCTCTTACTGTATTCTCAAACGTTTATCATTTGTTAATAAATAACATTAAAGTTCCCTATTTCAGAACCATCCTGTTTTCAAATATGATTAAATTAGCATCATTAATAGCTACGAGGTCACCAGGTTATTTTTACTCGACTGCTAATGGCAGTGAATTTGCCAAAAGCTGACTGGTCAATGATATAAAACAATGTATGGAAAGAGAAGGAATGTAAGAATGCATTCTTGGTTTTAATCTTCCTGTTCTGTTTTCTTTAAAGTGTGTTTAGATCAGACCACTTGATATGAGAAATCGAGTCTTGCTTGAATTTTTATGCAGAGTTGTCACTTATCCTATGAAAGAGTTTGGGGTAAAAAAGGGGACGTGAAAATTGTTTTTGTGTGAGAAGTCCATTAGTGTTTAACTTAAAGACAGATTCCCAGAATCTCCCTGGGAGCTGCTGAGTTAACAGAAACACCTGCCTACATTGCAGATATCTCGAAGGCCTTAATCTTAACAGAAATTGGCCCGAAACGTGACCCTGCAACTCTGAAACTGTTCCTTGGTAACATTGAGAGATTGCTGAAGGCCCAAGCACACGGGTAAGATATCTCACAAAATGTGTCTCACATTTGTGACCGGAAGTCCTTATAAAACCCAAACCCGAGCCGCGGTGCCTCGTGCGCTCTGCCTGACGCTGCCCTGTCCCTCCTGGGGTGTAGGGTCCGTGTCCTCGGGAGCTCCACCCTGGCCCTGTGCCACCTGGCCTCCGGCGCGGCAGACGCCTACTACCAGTTCGGGCTGCACTGCTGGGACATGGCGGCGGCCACCGTCATCATCAGAGAGGCGGGTGGCACCGTCATAGACACCTCGGGTGAGTGGCGGCCGGGTCTGCGCCGGCTGCTCGGGGGGACTCCTGTCTCCTCAGCCCTCCTGTGGCTCTGTCCCTTTCCTAGCATGGTCCTGTAGAAACGTCTCTGCTCTGAACTCTGGCTGGTTATTCGTAACCGATGGAATTACTGATGTAATTCCAGCCTGAGGTTTCATCACATCAAAGGGCTTCTGAGTCAAACTGTACTTCCGTGACTTGGAGTAATTCCTTTAAAGCCTCAGATTTACAGTAAAGAACTAGCCCAGGAGCTGGGTGGATACTCTGGGTGCAAACAGATTTTGGCAGAGACAGCTCCCCGAGAAAGGAGGATTCTCAGGAACGTGTCTGGACATATATGACCAGGAACTACCCAGAGGGCGTAAAGGACATCACAGTCTCTGGGTTATTGTTTTATTCATTTCGAAGGTGCATATCTCAGAGTAATTGCGTACTGGTGAGCAATATGGAAGTACTGTGAAGAGACATGGTGGATTGAGAAGAAGGGCATGCTGATTCAACTAATTTCTGTTCTGTCTCTGCCCATTGCTAGAAGAAGGGAATAGTGCATTTATTGTTGGATATGGAACAAATCTAGATATTAGCTCTTGCTGTTGCAGTACCTCTCCCCCAGTTCTCAGCACTGGTGAGGACACACCTCATATACCGGGTTCAGTTTTAGGCTTCTCACTGCAAGAAGGACATTGGGGGACTGGAGCATGTTCAGAGAAGGGCAACAAAGCTGGGGAGGGGTCTAGAGCACAAGTCTTGTGAGGAGTGATTATGGGGTTGTTCAGCCTGGAGCAAAGGAGGCTCAGGGGAGCCCTTCGGTCTCTCCAGAGCTCCTGACAGGAGCCTGGAGCCAGGGGGGGGTCGGGCTCTGCTCCCAAGGAACGAGAGATAGGACAAGAGGAAATGGCCTCAAGTTGCACCACGGGAGGTTTAGTTGGGTATTAGGAAAAATTTCTTCATCAAAAGGGTTGTCAAAACCTGGAACAGGCTGCCCAGGGCAGTGGTGGAGTCCCCATTCCTGGAGGGGTTTAAAAGCCTTGTAGATGTGCTGCTGAGGGACATGGGTTATCAGTGACCTGGTTAACAGTTGGACGTCATGATCTTAAAGTTCTCTTCCAACCCAAACTATCCTGTGATTCTATAATTTGGCACTGCATCTAGAATTTTCTGAAATCACTTTTTGCCAGAGATTTCCAGACAGGAGCTGCTGAAATCAATGGTCTTGCCCTACCCCCAAAAGGAGCTATGCATGAAGTGGTTCCCATGTTTCTGAACCTACCTAACGACAGCATGGTTTATAGTGAAGAACCCATTGCCTTTCTGCACCCTGTAAGACACTTCTCACTAATCCTCTTGCCCTCAGGGGGACCTCTGGATCTTATGTCCTGCCGCGTGGTGGCCGCGGGCAGCAGGGAGATGGCGACGTTCATAGCTCAGGAACTACAAACTATTCCCTACCGGCGGGACGACGAGGACTGAGCCCTGGGAGCGCGGCGCCTGCCCTCCTGCACGGCCCGGCTCCTGCAGCAGGGGGGGCCGGGAGGCTGCGTGGTCTCAGCAGGAGGCTTTCCGGGAAGCTTTTCCGTGTCAAGTATTTTTATAAACTTATTACCACGTGGAAGGCATAGGGAGATTTTTAAACCTCTAAGAATCGTGTTTCCTTTTTAATATGTATCTCTTTCAAAGGTATCTTTTTTATAAGCTAGCATATTTTACTTGTAGTAAATGAGTCTGAAAATTAAGTCGTAATTTCATATCCGTGGGGCTGATATTTTAGTCTTTTGTAACACGCAGCTAAAAATGGAACTTTATTTTTACAGATGCAGATCTCAGGTAAATGAGCTTTAGGACTGTAGTGAGGACAAGTAGCTAAGATGTGTGCCTATAATACCCTTGTTTTATGGTACTTAAGAATGCAATAAAAATGATGTTATTGTTTCCTAACTACATCACAGCTATATATCCATATATATGTGTATGTGCATATATGTATGTCTGTATGTGTGTATTTATACACCTATACATGTCTATGCATGTACACATGCACACACCCATGTGTGTATATTTATATATGGGTATCCTGGATGTTTACAGCAATTTAGAGAATGCATAGAAGAGAGCTCATATTGGAAGTTGTTTTTGGGTAAAGAGGGTAGGTTTGGTGGGGACTATAAAAATGGCAAATAACAGAGCTGCTGGTGGAAAATGTTTCATGATTTTACAAACTGTGCAGCTAGTTCTTGTTTCCCTTCGTCCCTCTGCATGGGGACAAAGCAAACTGTCCTCCAGGCTTCTGTGAGATACTCAAACATGCCAACACTTACTGTGATAGAGGAATTATAGTTACACCCAGAAATACTGAACTCCACTGAGTTATTCACAGTATTAACTACCACACACAGTAGGAGGCCAGCGGGATAGAGCACGGTGTCAAGGAGCTATTGATTTCAGAGAAACTTTGAGCAGAACAAGCAGGATTTGGCCCCTTACAGACAACCTGTTGAAAATAGGCATGTAAGGTACAGTTGCAAAAAGTTGTAAAGTACACACCCTTCTCTCACAAAGTTGTAATCCCACTTTTTTGATCCAAGAAACCTGTAAAATCAGTTACATACATTTCCTAAACACACAGTTGTTGTCTCTCCCTGTGTCTAACCTTGGTTTTCATGCCGACAAGGTGATCGTTTCTATTTAGATTATTTTTTAAATCATGAGAACAGGGAAGATAGGGTGTGTCCAGAAAAGCAGTTGAGATGAAATCACTTCTATTTTTTTTCTCTAAGATTTCTATTAAAAGGTATCTCTTTTTTTCTGCAAGAGTGCAAAGTAAATAAAGGAAAGAGCCAAAAAAAGTAAGTTGGTGAAAAACGTTTAACTTTGTCAATACACTGCATGTGTAATCTTTGTAAATGTGTGCAGATACCTGCCTAGAACATACAAACTAAACAATATTTTCTTAAAAATAACTTTACATGTGTTTCTTGTAACAAAAAATGTTTTTGACTGAATATAACACAACATTCTGTGATTTCTTGATGCATTTTTTCACAAGAAATACAAAGTATTGACTGAGTGAAGAATGTCTAAATCCATCTGAGCATTTGAGAACTGAAGGTTCTTACCAGAAAAGCAGTGCTGTCCCTCACAGTGAGCAACGTTTTGTCACTGCTCCCTTTTACCCCCCCATCTCTTTGTACCCCCCTGTGTGGAAATGGAGATTGTAAGCCCTCTGGGGCAGGGACTGAAGTGTTTCGGCTCTGGATTTGCACAGTGCTAACAGGATGTGATTCTGGTCCACAACTAGGCACCGAGGTGCTATAATAACACAAATAATAAATACTAATTGGCTCGTTTGTCTCTTATTCACCCTCCCCCCCTTTCTGAGCACAGTGGAGATCTGAGTTCTTAGTCCAGGCAGCCGTGGGAGCAGCCGGGGCTTTACTCGGACTCTGCCGTGGCCGTAAGCCCTGTAAGGAAGCTTATGCTGGCAGGGTAGAAGCTCAGCCCCTCTTCATCCTCTCCTGCTCCTCACCCCGTCCCCCCCATGGCTCTGGGAGAGGAGCATGGCTGCGGGAGCTTTCCCAGCAGCTGCCCTTGCTCTACAAAGAGTCTCTGACCCAGTTAGGGCTGGTGTGTGCTGGCGTGCCAGAGCTCAGCAAAGCTGGGGATCCGTGCATCGACTTCAACGGCACGCACCAGAGACCTGCCAAGTGTGGTGGGAAGGGAGAGGTGCAGAAACCCAGTCACAAGTTCTCCTTTGTGCCTGGGACGCAGTTTTGGGTTTTATTTGGGCTGCAGTTCAAGCATGCTAAGCTGATAGGGGGGATGTGGAGTGGCAATCCCAGCTCCCCCACCTCCTCTGCTGCCTGTGTGCCAGTACAAACATTTCTGAACCCTTCCAGTGGACCAGATGAGTGAAGTGATCTGCCTGTAAAGTACCCCAGTAAACAAAAAAGGGATTATTTTACAGACAGATTGTTTCTCCAGGCCAATTCAGCCCCTGGCCACCACCAGCAGCTGACTTCAGGCACCAAAGGGGGTAGCGAGGGGGGTGGGCAGGACAGCTCTGCTCACTTTAAACCACTTCAAAGTTTTCATCAAAGCACAGCCTTAGAACTACTTGATTACACATACTGACTGAAATAAACTGTACCAGAGTTTGTCCTCCCTTTGTTTTCCCTGCTAGCCACATGAAGCATTGCTCAGCACGTGTCTGGCAGCTCTCTCTGTCCAGGAGCACAAGCATTCATAACACAGTAAGTGAAGGCACGTTAGCCAGAAACTGAAATCCCCCAAAATGCTTAAACATGTGGACTCTTTTCCCTACCTGCTCTGGTTGTTTTCCACCACATACATGGCAGAGTACCTAAGTGCATCAGGCATCCAAGAGGGATAAAGATTTCCTTGGTGAACGCCGGCGCTGAGAAGCAGATCCCTCACCAGCTCACTGGTGGAGAACATTTTATACCTCCAGGCTTGCTGGTCTGGACTCAAAAGGTGCTTTCTTCTAGGATAAAGAACAGAAATATCTGTAAACTCCAGGACAATGGTCAGTGGCTGACTCCTTTGCAGTGAGTCATATTTTATAGAACAAGTATCAGCATCTTTCATACATGCTGAAGGTTTGATATTTTCCTTTTGATTTTGATCACTAGCTAATCTCACAGCATTAAAAGAAATCTCCATGTTTTGGAGCACTGAGCTAGGAGCCCACAGGAAGTATTCTCCATATTTCCTCTAGAACTATGTTCCCATTGGCAATGGCTTCAGTGAAAGCAATAAGAATATCACTTACCACCAGCCATTCTGCTGTGGGTGTCAGAGCTACGCTGCTCCCTCAGCAAGGCTGGATCTGCTCCCTGTATGCACAGGGGATGTGCAAGAGGAGCTTTGAATAATGAAATAAGACTTAAGCCACTATATCAAATGAAAACAGACCGCACCTTTTTTCCTGGTAACTTCCTAGAGCTACCAGATGTGTTTGAATTACACTTTCCCCTTTATGCCAGCAGGGAAGCTGGATGCAAAAACATGCTCTCTTGCAGTACTACTATCAGCTGTAAATGTAGCCCCAGTTCCTACAGCTGTTCCCACTTTACAGTGTGCTACAGTTAAGTCTTTGATAAAACACCTCCCCAACACTAAGGAATGTGACAAATCATTCCCCAACAGCAGAAAGAGGAATTTCCATTTTCTTTTAATCCATGCGCCAGCCATGACAACAGCACTATAGATCACAGCATTTTATATGCATGCTGTGTCCAAGGGGCAGAAGGGCTTCTCTTATTCAAAAGAGGAGTAACTGTTGACACTAACTGGCTTTCTGTGGGGTTTTCCCCCTGAAGTTTTCATTTTAAAATGCACTGCTACAGTGAGTTTGTACTGGTGTGGTTTACAGCTGGTTCTATTTACCCAGTGAATTTCAGAGCAGAGTGGATTGCCTTCCTCATCCTCTCATCACAGAACAGAGGGTATGTGTTCCACAGCACCACTGCTGTGAGACCCGTGCACACACACAGTGAGCTGCAGTGCAGCCTGGGAACCAGACAGACCCACCTCATACAGATGGCATGAACATTAATTAATGGTCAGAAGGCTCTTTAACTGCAGTCACTTTTATATGATTACTGAGGTCTGTTTAATCACACTGAATAATTCAGTGCTGAAGGAACAGAAGAATATACTACTAATAATAAATAATGATAAACTAACAGACAGCATTTATATATTCATTCTCTGCAACCTTTTATGCACACCACCACTATGTGCTCTGTTAATATCACAACCTAACACACCACTCTTTCTTCTGTTAGCTACTGACTTCCAGTTTTACTAAAAGCTGTTACTCTTTCTGTGAATACTCTGGATTTTTATAAGATAGCCATTAAAACTATCACTTCCCAATTCATTGAAACATGCAAAACTGAGGCCTGAGTCTTCTTTCCAGCCCTTGCTGGGATGAGTAGGGTAAGTCAGTGGAATTGCATCTGTTTGCAGGAGAAGAAAAAAATAGCCAAAATCATGTTTCACAGGCAGAACTTTCCGTTTGGTGGCAGGGAGGGAAAGCTCCTCGGGCTCAGCAATGCTGAATGTTCATCAGCTCCAAAAGGAGCTTTTTCCTCCACCTGAGAGAAACTGTAGCAGTTACAAAGTCCCTGCTAACACATATGTGCCAATACTATTGAAAAAAAAGTATTCTATACTTCCATGCTATCTTATTTTTTAGTATTAACTGAATGGTGAAACAATAATCTTTTATTTACATACACAGCTATATAATAGATTAAATTTGAGACCAGATTTTTTTTTTATTTACAAATTACTCACACAAAGACTCACAAGAATTACCTTTAACATTTCTGAGTGTCTGTATCTCCAGCCACCTGTCAAAATCAAATTAGAAGTATTAATCAGTGGAAAGAAAAACATTTATCCAGTCATGTTTGCTAAGGTAAATGGGCTCACAGGCACACTCTTCA